TCAGAAGGTCATATTTGTATGCATTAACAAGCTTAGAGCATACAATATTTAGAAAACAAAGTGTGGAGGAATAAACATGCAGCTAAACTTGCAGCAACCTGAATGCACATCTAATTGGTGGAGGGGGTGAAAAGTTTATGCAACTTTAACTTAATGAAATTCAAATTATATTGAACTCAAATGTGATCTGACTAGATAAAATCTTTTTACATAAATGTTTAGAATATTGCAACATGGTTAAAGCCACAGTGTAATATTTTTACCTGTTTACCATCAAATTCTGAGTATCCAGTTCACAAACTTGTCCTTTTTCATTAATATTTCTGACCAACATCAATTCTAAATATTCCTCACAGGTTGAAATTCAACATTTTTAGATATATAAACTGTGGTTGATATTCTATGGCCATGTGCCAACTTGAAGATCTAGCCAAATGGAGTCGAAACGTTGTCAATTAGCTATGGGGCAGCTGAACAAAGCAATCCTAACACTAAGTAAAGGAAAATAAGGGAACTGAGAACCAAACAACTGGAAACTGAAAGAGAAAATGCTCAAGCAGTTAATTGGGGAGCACTAAAATGATTGGGTCGTGGACGCTGACACCTGAGGAGGGACAGGCTGAACTGTTGGGAGGCCCAGATTGGACCGACCTGATGGCTGGAGTGAAAGCTGGATGACATTTTTAGTCTTTTAGATGTGTGGGCTACTGTAGCTGCAACAGTTACTCTGAACTGTATGATAAAGGATCTAACATTTTTACCATGATGTCTGGATTTCACACACAAGGCATTTAAAGTCCAATTCAGATCTTTAAATCAATTTGTTTGCATTTTAATCGAAAATTAACTAAATGGTTTTAATGTCATGTTTGCAAAACTGTGCAGAACATTGTTTGAAATTCACTTTCTATAAGTCAGCATTCGATCAGGAGGCAGAGCGGGTTGTCCAGTAATCAGAAGTTTGCCAGCTAGAACCCAGCTCCCAGCAGAGAATTCTGCCGTTGTGCCCTCGGGCAAGACACTTAACCCTCCCTTTCTGCTGCCGGTGGTCAGAGTGACCATGGAGCCAGTGCTCTGCAGCCTCGCCTCTGTCAGTGTGCCCCATGGCAGCTGTGGCTACATTATAGCTCATCATCATCTGTGTGTGTGTGTGTGTGTGTGTGTGTGTGTGTGTGTGTGTGTGTGTGTGTGTGTGTGTGTGTGTGTGTGTGTGTGTGTGTGTGTGTGTGTGTGTGTGTGTGTGTGTGTGTGTGTGTGTGTGTGTGAGAGAGAGAGAGAGAGAGAGAGAGATACACTGTAATGTAAAGCGCTTTGGAGTCCTCTGGCTCTGAAAGGTGCTACACATGTGCGGGTCATTTATCAGAATTGCAGAGGATGATAATTTCACTAGAAAAGACTTTCTTTTCTTTCTTTCTTTAGGTTGCTGATCATTCATTCATTCATAATTCGTTCATTCTTTCATTCATTCATCTTAACAGCTTTGTCCTGAAAAATGAACAATAATGAAATCAGCAGCAGTAATAAGAATATATATATATATATATATATATATATATATATATATATATATATATATGTATATATATATATATATATATTTATTTATTTATTTATAGGAACATCCATCAAAGAAACTAAACAGAACCCACTGACTAAAATCATATTCACTTACTTTTATACCAGTTCAACACTCACTCATTAGTTGTTTCTGGAACTGGTTTTGGCCAAAAATGTGACAACCAAACTTTCTTCTTTCCCACGTATAGACAAACTAAAAAGTTCATATTGAAATTCACAGTTATGTACAGCTGACAAGAATATCAGCAGCTCCTTTTAAACTTCTACTGAGGACAGAGATTGTATGTTGTATGGGTCTATAAAAGGAGAAACATCCACTTTAATACTCTCTATGATTATCAGTGATTTCTGACTGGACCATTAACATGACCAGAGTTGTATGTGATTTGATTTACAGCTTCGTGTTGAAGTGCACCAACTGGCTTTGGAGTTTAGTAATTGGTTAGAGTTGATCTTGAGATACAAACATAACAATAATATTGATTGCTAAATAAATCCCAACCTGCAAATGGTAATTGTGCAGGAAAGGCTTCTGTGCTCACGTGGGACACATCAAATGAACGATGATGGAAAACGCTAAAAGGGAACTTTAGCAAAGTGATGAACAAACCTTCAATGGGTGATCAAATGACCTGAGAGCTTCAGCTCCTTCCTGTCGCTGATTTAGATCTTTTATTTGTTTAGGAATGATGGATCGCATTCAGGAAGTAACACGAGAGCCGAAAAGCATGATACGGTTATTTAAATCTGTATTACACGTCTTTTAACTGCGAAACAATCCAAACAATAAGATTCAGAAAATCAATTATGCTACACTGTCTTTAATAAGCACAGAAAATCAGAACCGTTTCAGTTTATTAGTCTGTTGGTGACTTATTCATTGTGTTATCGTAAGCACGACGCAGCAGATCCTTCTGTTCTATAGCGTCATAAATAAACAAATCAATTTTTTTGTCTGCCTTTTACTCAAGCAGGAAATGTGCCATGATTTACGTCTGATGAGATGGACCCAGTGGGCTCTCCCAACTGATTAATTACAGGAGCTTCAATTGATTTACTCCCATTGGTTTGCTGTTCTGTATATTAAAATACTAGAGAAGACATTAAAGTCATCTCAGATCGGAAGGGAGAAAACCACTAATCAATAACACCAGATTGTTTTTTTTATACACGCTCATTTTCTTTCTCACTGCTAAAGAAGTGATCTGAGACATCAGATGAATTTCACAAACTGTATGGAAAGCGAATTAAGTATTAAATATAAGGTTACAAAAGTTCAGTAGAGCTTCCTTAAGCTAAATAATAACAATGGACTTGGTCGTGTTTTGGATGGATAATGTGTTTGTTTTTACCCATTGAAAGCATGTTTGGGCTGACAATGTTTACTTCTTTCACAATCTGACGTATGATTTTATTTCATTTTAACTTCCTGTATTTTACTATCACCACACAACTAAATGATATAACTGGTCAGATGTATGAAAAAGAAAAAGTAATGCAACGGGCTTTGTTTTGGATTAATGACTAGACAGACTAGAATGGAATAGAATAACACTTTACATTAAGTGTCCCTTTCAAAAGTTAATTATTGCATTATTAAGCATTAATAAACTATTAAATAAAGTGTTTCCATGAAAAGTTTGTGCTGTTTGAAAATAACCTACTTAACATTTTTGACACAATGTTGTAATTTTCTGTACACAGAAGGTAGTAACGATGCAACATTAGTACAAACAAAGAAAATAAAAATGGATTTAATATATTTCAATACTTCTCATTATCCCAAGAGAATTCATTCACTCACTTATTTGCACTCTGGTAGTGATGGTGAACCACATGATTACCACAGCAGCCATGGGGCCGCCTGACAGATGCAAGGCTACCATTTGGCACCATCAACCCTTCTGAACACTACCAACATAGGCTAGGTAGGTGAAGTGTCTTGCCCAAGGACACAAACCGGTAACCTTCTGACTACTCGCTCTGCCTCCTGAGTCACATGAGCCACTGCTGCTCAGGATGCTTAAGCTTGGTTTATGCTTGACGCATTCACTTTCCTCTTAGTGATGCGGCTCGCGGATGGAACGCGCTTCACAACTCGCAGCGTTTATGGTTCATGCGGCTTGTCTCTACGGTGAGCCAATATTCTCCCAAACTGAACGGGGCAGCATGGAGCTCTACATCCTTCATCCACCACTACACCATAGTAGAAGTAGAAATTACTGTTGTTTACAACATGGCATTTCAGCATTTTTAACAGCGTCCTCGTCTTTTCCGACAGTGCGAGCTATTTCTCTCCAAGAATTATTAACAACATGTTGATCACGGTGATCTCTGAGAGCTGAATCATACAAATGTCTGTATTTACGAACCTCTGTCATACTAGTTCTTGCCGGTCCGCCATGTTTTTCCCCGTCCGACCGTCCGCGTGGTTAGAAATTTTCCTAGGTGCACATTGCAGAAATTTTGGGCCGTGCGGAGGCGCGGTGGAGGGGCGTGGTTGTTAAAATGACGCAATTTCGCCGCACGGAGCCGTGCGAACCTCGCGGACGCGTCAAGCACAAACCAACCTTTAGGATGCACGTAGCAACTTAGCAGAAGATGAAATGGTGACTATCTCCAGCTGTCTTCGGGCAAGCAGGCGGGTGCACCTTGGACAGGTTGCCAGTCCATCGCAGGACAACACAGATACACACAGGACAAATAACCATGCACACACACACCTAAGGATCCTTTTAGACCAATCAACCTGACAGTCATACTTTTGGACTGTGGGAGGAAACTGGAGTACCCACCATAATCTAATCTAATTAAAATATTCAAGGAAATTGATGGTTTTTGTTTATCACTTTTATGGTTTTGTTCAGAAAAAAGTGCTTTACACTGCAATCCTAACCCAGCCACTCACACTTCATGCCCCTGATTTAGACATCGAATGCCTATAGGGAGGAAGTCAGAGCTGAACAACTGACCTGCTAGTCCCTGCTCTCTACAGCTGACCCTAAGTGTAAAATAGTCTTACAATTACTAAACTTTGCATGCAAAGTTCCTCATTTATTTATTTGTTTGTTTGTTTGTATGTTTAATAACCCCTTCATATCAATTAGCACCCACCAAAAATCTGATTTGTTTCCTGTTTGTTTTTGGCATTAACACAAACTGATAGTAAAGTTATTTTAAACCATCCCAACTTCTGTGTTGAAGCAATTTTAGATAAAGAAGAGGCAAACGTGATTTTATTCTGCGCCAGATTTCAATTATATTTTGTGTTATTTGGTGAGCGACTGGAGTGCTTTGAAATTTTTTTCTTTTCTTTTTTTTTGGGGGGGGGGGGGGGGGGGGGCGGGTTGAAACAAACAAATCCGATCGTCCTTCAGTCTGAGACATGAACTGGTTTTGTAACTTATCTCAGTGGCTTGGATCATGTTGTCATTTAGATTTTCCTTGATGCAGATTGAATCTATTGAGGAGATTAAGATAATTGTGCGCACGCCCGCTTGACGTCACGCACCCAATGCACGCGCTGTACCATGAGCTTAGTTTAGCGTCAGAGTGGAGGATAGTCCGGATCAGACGGAGTGGTTTTCTCTGCACCTGCACGGATGTTTTCAGCTTTTGGGATACAAATGAACGTTTTCTCTCCAGGATGTTGGTAGAAAGTTTCAAACTGAATCACTATATTTAGTTAGAGTCCCCGCAACTGACTCGTTTGCTGTTTATTTTGATTTAATTTTATTTTATTTTTTAAGTTTTTCTTCTCATCGTCGGTGTGTGGGTTAGGGCTCACACCGGCGCAGACGGAATGAGGAGGAGGAGGACCGTCTGCGCTGATCCATGTGCTTATTTTGTTTTGGTCTGATTTCACACAGTGTGGGCTTTTTTGAATCTGCTGGACTCTCAGGTGGAAGAGGTGTGCGTCTCCTCTGTTGGATCTACAGGATGCATCATCAGCTCAGCCCTCATTGTGCGCAACCAGACAAGTGGATCGCTCTGAAAAGTTTTCTACATCTTGTATTCTAAGTGCACAACAGTTTGGAGCTCCAGAACCAACAAAATGATTTTAACTTTTGTCCTTACACTGTCCACCCTGGGTAAGTGGAACTTTCCTTTGCTGAAATGGTCATTTTTATATTCACTGTTTTTCCGTTTTTATTTTAATAAAATCACCCATGCGGCAATTCTGATCAATTGCACTCGCACAAGACAATAAAGTTGAGTTGATCAAATTTCTAAGAAAAAAAACAGTTCGTTTAAATGAAAATTTAGGACGTTCTCCAGCGTGTGCCAAATCCTTCTGTAGGCTACGTAAGAGTCACCAAATCCGTGTCACCATGTTTCCGTTACGCACAGATTTGGTGTTCACCTTGAAGGCTAGCGTCCCGGACCGTCCCGTCCGGCTGGACTGCGTGAAGGCCAGCGAGCAGTGTCTGAAGGGGTTCTCCTGCAGCACCAAGTACCGGACCATGAGACAGTGCGTGGCGGGGAGGGAAAGCAACTTCAGCGCGGTCACGGGTCCCGAGGCGCAGGGCGAGTGCCGCAGCGCAATAGACGCCGTGAAGCAGAGCTCCCTTTACAACTGCAGGTGCAGAAGGGGCATGAAGAAGGAAAAGAACTGTCTCCGGATCTTTTGGAGTATATTTCAAAGTTTGCAAGGTGATCTGAGAATAATGTCACACTCAAAACTAATAAAATGCACTTTTGTTTTGAGTTAGACATCTACCTGACAGACTGAAGATGTATATCTGTGTAATTTGCTATAAATTGCAAAAACATATCTTTGGAAGTATTAGGGGCAGCTTTAATGGCTGTGAGGGTTGAGGTTCAGCAGCCCCTGCAAAATGTGAAAGTGATAAGTAAGAAACAATTTGTAAATCAACTGCAGAAGCAAGACAAGGTTAACAAGGTACAGCTGTAAGTCTGGGCTGTTTATCATGATTGAAAACATCTTCATAAGTTCAGGACTAAACTGTGTTTCTGTGGCAAGTTGGTTCATTTCTAAATTAAGGAGATATTTTCTGAGTAAATGTAATAAGTCCTTTGTTATGTATCTGCTAAAACCCTGTAATGCTGCAGATTTATTTAACTGATGCACATTATGACCTGTTCTTATAGGCTCAGTCATAAAAGCAGTCATGTGAAACTGGACACATCTTCAATAGAAAGTGCAACATTACCTGGACTTAATTTTATTCTTTTCTTATTAAATATATAACTTTAAAAAATGTGTCTAAAGAGGAATGAAATGAGAAAGTCTAATGTATGTGATTTTGTCATTGAACATCAGAAGTAACACCCTGCACAAAACACTGTTGTTTTTAAGCCCCTTTCAGGGCACTGTTTAAATGACTCCTTCACTTTTACATGTAGGTAGGTAACCTGACTCCTTGTGGAAATCAGACCATGACCAACTTCTGGTATAAAACGACATAAATAGCCTAAAAAACTTGTTTTATGCCCATAGGACCCAATTTAGTCTAAATAATAATAATAATGCATTGAACTTATGTAGCACTTTTCAGGACACACAGACGCATTTAACCCACTCTCACATTCACACACTGCCAGTGATGGTAAGCTACTTTGTAGCCACAGCCACCCTGGGGTGGTCTGACAGAGGCGAGGCTGCCATTTGGCGCCGTTGGCTCCTCTGACCACCACCAACACATGCAAGTTGGGTGAAGTGTCTTGCCCAAGGACACAACAGCAGAATAACCCTGGAATTGAACCCATGACGCTCCGATCATGGGACAACCCTCTCTACATGGACGTAATTTTCACTTTAGAAGTGGGGGGGACACGGGGGTGGGGGTGGGGGGTGGGGGGTGGGGGGTATCTTTACAGTATGCTCTAATGGGAAACAGGCTTCAACACAAACAGTTGTTTTCCACTTGATCCTAGAGCTCAACCAGTGTCAATTTAATATAGCGTAATATTGTTTTTGGATGGTAAAAAGTGCAGGGGTCAAAACTTGACTTTGGAAAAATTGGAAAAATGGAAAAATTACGTCCATGCCGCTCTACCACCTGAGCTACTGCTCCAAGAAGTTCCCAGAACCCAATCATGTCATAAAAGCAAGTGTGTACACACATTGAAAAAAATAATTGTTGACCATCTGTTTTGCCCCACAGGTAATGATTTACTGGAATACTCTCCATACGAGCCGGTCAATAGCCGGCTCTCAGACATCTTCCGCTTGGCTCCCATCATTGCTGGTAAGACATGTGTCCAAAGGTTTCAATTTGCGCAGTGTTAAGTCACCGTACATATCACTGACATTTCTCAGTTGCACTCCGTTTAAGTCGCCACATCGCTGCAACAAACCTGTCACTATATTTGACAACCATGTTTTATATTGCTGTCTGGTTTCAGCCTGTAGCTTTTAGCGCCCATTATCTATCACAAAGCTTTTATCTGCCACTGTGACCCTCAGTACACAAAGCAGAATAATTTAGTAGATTTCAGCCCTCAAAGCAACGATGGGAGCTCTGTATGTTTTTCCTCTGTCACAGTGCTAATGCTGAGCCCGGCTTTTATGTGCTAGTTTTGAATTAATCACCCATTTAGAGCAGCGGTTCTTTTGTTTGAGCACCAGAAGCCAGTTGGAGCTGAATGTCGAGATTTTTTTAAGGGTAAAAAAACCAGTTTTCCATTGTAAATTTAAATGTCATACATGCCCACAAACGTCAGAGGTGGACCTGGGAGCACACACTCAGACAGGCATATATTTAGTTTCACAGAAGAGCAATTAACCATCTGTCTGCTTTCAATGGCTCAGCAGAAGTGGAGCTTCTGGAGCTCTCTGGCACCCCTCGGTGTTGGACTTTCTGAATGGAGGAGAGCATCTGCTGAACTGGCCAGCTACCATTTCAAAATTTGTATTTGTTTCTCTCTCTCCTACCCAGCCTTCCTGTTTGGCTCTTACTGTGATTGAGTCCACTTGGCATAGTACAGTGGGCTCTGCTCCACAATGACATAATGCTTCATCGTGTTCCAAATCAAGAGTAAAGAAAACATTGTTGGAATACACAAATTTCTTCTGTACTGGAATATGACAGAACCAAGCAAACAAGTAATATTCAAGTGTTTCATTTACTGCAACTAAAGAAATTAATCTGAAGAAATTAGAAGGGCAACAGTTTGGCTTGAGACATGATCAGAAATCGGATTTCCTTATGCTCTTCTATCAAAATCAGTGGCTGAGAATATAAAAACCTGGCAGGAGAACTTACCAGTGTTTGATGCTATCTTTAAAACAAATAACCTCAATTTTCTTGATTACGAGATAAACTGGAATATGTAGCTGAAGCTGAGTATCATATAGGAGTGTGTTAAGGGGAGGGCGGGTATGTAACATCTAATGGGTTAGATATCACAAATCCATTTACTGTAAGTGACCTCATTCCTGTATGAAACTAAGCCAAGCCTGGGGAAATCTGCATTGTGAAATAATGTGCAAGTGAATCAGGGTGAAATGGTCCTGAGTCATGTGATTCCTATCATTATGGTTGCGTTCAACACAGTCTGAGCTTTGGAAGCAGAAACACATCGTTTAAAGTTCTCTTTACGATAAGAAACCTAAACACTTCATTTCAGGTGTCATTTAGTGATTCAAATCTTTTGAACGACTCTACAAAGTAAATGGTGAGAGCTGAGTCTTTGCAAAGAACTGCTCACCTTGTCCTTTAGTAATGTTTTACTAAAAGAAAAAGGTAATATTGTCATTTAAAGTGATTAGAAAACTACCAGGCTGAATTAAATGTTTCTCGCCTACTTTCTGATAGCACAAAATAATCAACAATTGAGGATTTAGTGACATAATTGTTCAGATAAAAGCAGGAAGTGCTGCATTTAGAAAATACCAAACATCAATTGAAGTTACTATGGGTACCAAATTTTGTTTTATGAGTCTAGGCTTTGGATGTAAATCTATCATGATTTGTCAATTTTTTGGACACTAAGAGAAGTTGTTTATTATGAAAATATTATAGAAAATTTTGTATTTTATGTTCCATGAGGAAAATTACGTATGTTTCTTTTTTTTATTATCTTTATGTAAGTGTTTTGGTGACAAGGCAATTCCGGGCAAATACCTAGTAGACATTGACGGTGATTTACGTCCAAGTCACATCAAATAGTAACTGATCAAATGGTTTTATACCATGTGTAAAAGAAGGATATGTGTTAATGGTGTGGTTCACTGAAAAAACATTTCTTAATTATTATTTCAGATTTTAATCATTCACTCTGAGTTTTTCATGCAGGCTGAACATGAAAATTGTCTCCTACACCTATCTCCTGCTTTAGCTTCTGATGGAAAATAGACTGTGAAACTCTAGGATTTGAAAAGCCTCACACTGTCACTTAACATTCATGGACTCACCCATCTTGACTCACGACGGGGAAGGTTGTTGTTAGTTTAGCATCCAGGAAACAGCAGAGAATGTGTCGGCCAGTAGAAGTTAACTGTTAGCATTTGCAACTTCATGACACGGCAGAATTCCTCCAGGCTTGTGTTATTTGTGGAGATAAAACATCAATGTTGCAAAGCAAACAAAGACAGTGGTAGAGTCAAGTTACTGTTAGCCAATCAGAGGTCAGATGTCCAAATATCAGGAAATAAGACTCCAAATCCTGATGGCTAAAACCAGGGTTTCCCCAGAAAATAAGTAAAGCTTGGCACATTCAGCTGTGTGTGTGTGTGTGTGTGTAGGGGGGGGGGGGGGTGCACGCTCCATCCTGCAGCGCTCCTCCATGACAGCGGGGGTAGGGGGGTTGCACACATTCCACTGCTGTTTCTCACCAGTATCAGCTGATGGAGAGCTCTAGTTTCGTTGTGCCGTTCGTAGGTAGGCTTAGCCTGGCAGGTGGCCAAGCAAAGCCTGGTGAGCCGCCAGGCTTATAAAGAGCTGGGGGAAACCCCGGCTGAAACTCAGATCTGATGTGGCTAAGTTCCTGAGACAGGCACACCAGGAACATGCAGAGGCCTACTAGAGACTACTGCATATGCATTGATTAAATATATATTTATATATATATATATATATATATATATATATATATATATATATATATATATATATATATATATATATGTGTGTGTATATATAGTAATGGTGAAATGTATTATTCAAACCAAAATCTTTGACATCTAACCCCTCCAAACCACTAACTAAGATGGTGGTTTCCAGGAACAGCTGAAATGAAACTTCATCATGCATGAATCAATAAAACTGATCACTTCCTGACACTGAATTCCAAAGACGTAACATAATACAACTGCGCAGGGTGATGGAAAATAAAAAATCCTGATTGACACATAACTAATTCTGCACTGTGGCTTTAACAATTAAAGCATACATTAATTCATCTGCAAAGCATATGAAGAGTTCAGGAAAGTAAGACTGTAGCATTTGTGATTTATGGTAATCCTCAAGACACTCCAAAATAAAGAAAAGCTCTTAGAAGAAATGCTATCACATGTGGCCCAACCACTAATACCAGCATCACTCCAGTCCTCTCAGTTTTTCCTCCTATCTCATTAGTAGTCTCTCAAAGGATGCAGCCACTGAACAAGAAATGAAGCTTGGCATGATTATTTTCCACTACAAGGATCCCAAGGATAATTCAGTTGGTCTTGATGCCTGAAGCAACAAATTAAGCAGCATGGGTTGTCTACGGCCGGTCCAGTCTGCCTGTGAACTGTTCCCAGTGTGAAGACTCTGACTATCACACGTTAAAATCTGCTGAACATTTCTGCACCAGAGTGACTTTAATCAGCTGCAGGCTTTTCATTTATAAGCTTCCCTTTTATTTTTCTTCTGCGCTTCTTTGACCACAGAATAGCTCCATTTATTCTAGCATGAGTTGTGAGACGTAAGTTTGACATGTTTATGTTTTCACCTAGTGAAATTGTACAAGTACTACTAAGAAGTCAAATCAATTAAAAGTTTTTCATGTGGTCATTTTACCAAGTTGAATTTTTTCTTATGCATAACTATGTGATCACATTTGGGCTTTAGTTGCTACATGTGATTGATTGATTGATTGATTGATTGATTGATTGATTGATTGATTGATAAATACAAATTAAACTAACAATCTGTAGTTTTGTTTTGTTTTGTTTGGTGCTTAAAAAGTTTGGGATCAATTAATGTGAAGACTTTTTTAAATTGACGTGATTTATAGTTGTTTTCTTTTTGCTTGTTTTGTTTGATTTTTTTAGGGTTAAGGGTAGGGTCTAGTCTAATTTATACTTCTCCGTCAGCTTTGTGAGGGAGTGACACACATGTAGTTAACAGCCTCTGCGAGCCCATCAGAGACCCCTTGAGCCGATGCATAATGGCGTTGCGTGTCTCCGTACAGACGCAAACAGAAGTATGAATTTAGGCTTCAGGGGTAGGGGAAGAGTGACCACCATTTTTCACTATGTAACTTTCCTTTAAAATAATCCTAAATGCACTTTGTATGCTTAACAGTACACATTTATGAGCAATAATTGTCAAAAACCTAAAGCTTACTGACTCTTCTGGGCAATAATCCACCTTCTTTAGGGTCAAAGGAATGTATTTGAATTTATAGGACCAATATCATGCTATTTTACACCTTTCAGAGCAAAGATAGACAAAATATATGATAAAATATTACCGTTGGAACTATTGAGATGGCTTTTTTTATGAAATAGATACATGAAATATGACATTTTTGTGAACTATTCCTGTTCTGAAAATCAAAGAAAGAAAAAAAATAAAAAATAAAAAAGTCAAGAGGTGTTTCACAAGAATTAAAACAAAATATATATAAAAGATTAAATAAAAACAAGCAGATTGAAAAATATGGTTTAAATGAGAAAAAAATAATTGTGATTAAAGAATATAAGGAGAAGGAAGGAGAAAATTAATAGGAAAGAGAAAAATCGGTGGATCCCAGGAAAAGCGGAATAGGTAGAAAGAGCAGAATAAGGTAGTAAGAAGGAAGTGATGAAGGTCACACCAAAGCCAGCCTGAACAGGTGAGTTTCAGCTGCTTTTAAAGGAGACCACTGAGTCCACTGATCTCAGGGAGAGAGTTCCAGAGTTTTGGGGCCAAAGCAGCAAATGATCTATCACCTTTGGTCTTAAAGTTAAAGTCCCATTAGTCATCATCACACACTGGTGAAATTCATCTCCACATTTGACTCATCCCCGCGGGGAGCAGGGGAGCTGCAGCTGGGGCTG